TCTTGCTCGAAGAACGCCATTTTTCTTGCTTTGGTGTCGTATGCTGCAACTCTGAAAGGTATTATTTCAAGATCCTGAAGACCTGGTGTCATCGGCAGGACTCTTGAGCCATGTGTTCCATCGTATAGATTGCCTAATTTCATATTTAATCGTGTTACATGAAAATGTAAAGTATAGTTGTGGTCACGATATAGCGAGGTCGTAAATTAAACTCTCAAGAATCGGCACCGATTGATGTTGCGGCACTCAAGGCCGTGTGTTGCAGTCTGTTTGAGGGTTCCAACAATAAACGAATGGTAGCATATGATTTGGTACTTCAAGTAGAAAATGGTATTTCATTTACAAATGGAAAATATGTTAATATTAAGCTACACAATCTTTTTGCACTTTCTATCTGTATATAACACGAGTAGATAAACTAAGATGCTAAAGACATCAATAAGACCTTTACCTGTAACCGTACTTCCAAAAGCGGCTTCCCCCAGAGGGAGAAACCCTAATTTGTCCTAGCTGCATGCAGTTTTCAGTAAATATATTAGAATCAGTTGACTTTCGCTGGATACAAGAATTCTTTGTACGGTCCTGACCATGGTTTCAAGTACTTATCTGCTCGTATCTCTGTCAATTTTCGGGTCCCGGCAGCTAAAACATGTTTACTTTGACGTCTGACCGATTTTACGACCTCGCTATATCGTGGCCCCGACTATAAAATACTTGAATGAGACTTCAGAAAATTTTATAGAAATAGCGATACAAGAAAATTACACAGAAAAAGTACCGATTCACTTCGTTAAAGACACATTTGATTGTAAGTAAAATATCTAAATGTCAATTTTTGATAAATCAAGTAGAAAAATTCAGGATTCATAGATCATTTGCAATGATCTTCCAGAAATTTAACAAATATCATGTCAACGTACCATTGTATTATACTACTTTGTTATTTAGTTGGAAAACTGTGAAATTTTTATTATCGAATATTACCATCTGGCGTTTTAGACTGGTCAGGATGCGGCAAACCAGCAGGATCGCGGCCAACGATGTAAAAATTCGCCCCCGCCATCATCCTCGCCTTAGCGTGCCACTGTACCTAAAAATATTACAATTTTTGTTATATATTTCGATGTTAATATCAGAGACGCGCTCGTGTAGTCGCAACGTGGTGGACAAAGACTCCAACCGTCTGACAAAACACTAGCATCCGCACGCGCGGGCATCGCTCACACCATAAACAAAAGACGCACCGAAGTCCCGAATCGTCATCGGGATCCACGAGAATCTCTCTCGTTACAACATAATTTGAATAATTTCACGATAATCGCAAAACAGGTTCTCGTATTTTCTTACGAAATTTATATTTGCATAATTAAATTCGATGTAAACCCGACAGGTGAATAGTAAATACACATTTATACTCCCTCCTCAATTCTTGTTTAACGCTGATTATTAGAAATGTTTATAAAAATCGTTTGCATCCATATTTCGCAACTTATTAATATTATTTAATACCAATGTTAATCAGTTGTAATTGCAAAGTATAGATGGATAAATATTAATATTAAATGTCGGTATTAACGATAAATTTAATAATATAAAATAACAAGCAACGATAAATTTTACTATTATGTCAAATATTTTTGTATTATCAATCTACCGAAATGTTTCCTACCTCTGTAGGCCCAGCGTACAGCATTGGACTTGGAAAAATGGCAAGAATAGTGTCCTTGTGTAAAACACCCTCTTCAAGAACACTTTGATGCTGATTTATCCTAATTGGTAGCGGTACGTCGTCTTCTTTCGTCCATCCTCCCAGAGGGTGCAGTAAAAGAACTGGTTTCTTGAAGCCACGTTCCTCCACAAGGTACCTTCTTGTGTCCTAGCATCATTTTAAACAATTATTTTCAACTGTATAACTGTTGTTACAATAAATCCTACTAAAATTCGTAGCATAAGTGTTACCATTTTCAATTCGAATCGCATTATTCACACTTTCTTCACCACTTCTCCTTTTTAATCGTTCTTTTTTCAGAGGTAACAGAGAAATTGAGAAGAAGAGATACATTAAGTCATCCCATAAGTTCGAAAGCGAAAAATATTTCAATGAAAATCCAAGGAGACACTGTATCGATGACATAATGGTCTTATAAAGACAAAAACAAAAATAGGAAAAAGTTGTGGAATGAGAAGGCGCTTATATATATATTTCTTTATTAAATTCAATGGTTTGTTGGAAATATCAATCTGAAGTATAAAATTCGACACGAACTTATGGGATGACCTAATAGAAAGACAACAACAGGCGCAAGACAGGAAGATGGGACAATCTAAATAGGTACAACGTAAGGGACTTACATACATTCGCTGTAAAAAAATTCGTTAAGTATAGGAATCGAACCCTAGTCACCGGATTACAAGTTTAACTCGCTATCGACACGCTACAACGGTGGTTGGTATTTACATCAATCAAAATTGTATTTTATGGGAATAAGAAAATTTCAATTGCAAATATCTCAAAAACTATTCAGTATCTGCCACTATAATGGTATATTCGTGAACAGGAGAACGAGATCTATAAGTGTTCAAAATTTTAACTAAATCGGTGACACCAAGGCTTTGCCCACTCCTTGTCAGTGGCGTGTTATCCTATGAGCAAAAGGGGCAATTGCCCGAGGCCTCGGGCAATCTTTTATAACTTCATTGCTGTATACTCTGTTCAGCCCGCAGGGGGGCGCCTGAAGGCGCCCGGGGCCTAGCGAACCCCCGGCATCCTGAGCTTCTTGCAGCGGGGACTGCGAAGGCTGTGTCACGCCGTCGGCAAGGACACAGTATGCAGATCTTGGGCATTGCTAACCCACGGACCTGGAGCTTCGCAGGCAGGCGCACCGAGGAGGGCTCGTCGCGAACTGCGCGACGAAGATTATCTCCTGGTCGCCTTGGGAGTGGCAATCCCACGAGCCGAGTCTCGCAGGGATGACTTGAGAG